CCAGCCTATGGGGGTAAAACTATAAGACTCTAGGAAGAAAGACGTAAAACTGTGTGCAAACATCTATCCATTTAGGTTTTTCCCTTGGGATATTTTGGAACACCATTAGACACTGTAAACCTCTTTATGGTTTGTTCACTTGGTGTGGAACGGGAAAGAAAAAAAAGAGCCAGTCCCCCCTGGCTGTATTCTTCTCAACACTCTGTACCCATCATGTGAATGGAAGGAACCCAAAATCTTCATTTTCAGAACTGTATCTTAGCCCCTGGCTCCTGGAGAAAACCAGTGTGGTTCAGAAGTGGGATGGGAAGAGTGGTTTGCATTGGCATCAGCCTTGCGGGTGCTTTGGGGCTGGAGCACACTCAGCTGTGGGTTACAGATGCTTGCTCTCCAGTATTAATGTGGCCAGCATGTGAAACCATTGGCACCCACAATGCTACACAAAGGTCCACGCCTCTGATAGTTTGGGAAATAACTCCCAGCTGAAGAAATTCCTTCTTGAAGGGCTGGAATACATTCTTGAACAGAAGGTCCTTTTCCAAAGGGGTGGAACCCAGAAAGAGATGCCTGATGGTGTTGGACTGGGTACCAGGGACTGTATCATTGAGTGTCTCTGATCTTGGGACCTTTAACTGAAAACAGAAAAAAAAAAAAATGCTACTCTAAACCTGAGGTTCATAAGTGCCAAATTCTATGCTGTACATATAGCAGAGAGCTTGGGCACTCAAGCCATTGGATAGTTTCTTTGGAGATGTCAGACGCAAAGCATGAGTGGTGGTGGTTGTCATATGGTCTGACTCAGGGTGGGTTGGAAATGTTTCCACTAATTTTTATTTCTCTGAGCTGTCTCCAAGGTTGGTAGGACCAGAGAAGACTATATGGAAAAGAAAGGAAACAAATACAGGGTTGGTTGGTGCTCTTTGTATGTTCAGTAACCAAGACACTTCTTTCAGGTCCCCTTCTCACTCATGAGGCCCGTGCTTCCTTCTAACAGGACATGTGAGAGAGCCGGGATGTTTCCATCCCCCATTCAGTGAGTGCGCTAGTCTTCTCGTTCAGGTGCAATTTCCAGTGAAATAGTAGCTTGTAAGTATTCAGAAGTTAGTTTATTGACTCTTATTGCACTTCTGAGCACCTAATAAATAATTTATTAGTCTGATGGATATGTGGCTACCTAACTATGGGTCATGAAATATGCACTATTCTTCTAATACACTGTAGGGAGACCTGTTTATAAAGTATTTAGTATTGGTTTTATAATGCACCGTTGACAACAGAAGACCACGAAGCTCAAAGATCAATCTCATTTTGGCCCACAGTAGTAATGCTGCTTTATAAGCTCTGTGACAGGTCACTTAGACAGTGGTCCTCGCAGAAAGGACTCTGTTAGGAAGGCGATCTGGAGTGGCTGCAAGCACAGCGGATGAATGTCTTTGTCGAGGTCCCCGAGGTGACTGTTTGGTGGTTGCTGATGCTGGCCAGGTGTTGGAACTCAGCATTTCCCAGTTCTCTATGGGGAATCTGGACTGAGAGTGCCCCGAGAGCGCTAATGCAATCACCACTGATTGTACAGAGAGCTGGGGTGACTTTGGCCCACAGTTGCACTTCTGGAGACCTGGATTGCAGGAAGGAGCAGGTCTAAGCTTTCCTCAGCTTCCTCTCATGTTTGCTGATGAAGTGACATTGTTCCACATCTCCCAGTCCTTCATTCAAGTCACAGATGTGACACAGCATAACTTAAAAAAATTTTTTTTTATTATAGTTGATTTACAATGTTGTGTTAGTTTCTGCTGTACAGCAAAGTGATTTAGTTATACATATATCCACTCTTTTTTAGTTTCTATTCCCATATAGGTCATTACAGAGTATTGAGTAGAGTTCCCTGTGCTGTACAGCAGGTTCTTATTAGTTATCTTTTTTTTTTTTTTTTTTGCTGTACGCGGGCCTCTCACTGTTGTGGCCTCTTCCGCTGCGGAGTGCAGGCTCCGGACGTGCAGGCTCAGCGGCCATGGCTCACAGGCCCAGAAGCTCCGCAGCATGTGGTATCTTCCCGGACCGGGGCACGAACCCGTGTCCCATGCATTGGCTGGCGGACTCTCAACCACTGCGCCACCAGGGAAGTTCTAGTTATCTATTTTATATATAGTAGTGTGTATGTGTCAATCCCAATCTACCAATTTATCCCTCCCCCACTTTACCGCCTGGTAACCATAAGTTTATTTTCTACATCTGTAACTCTGTTTCTGTTATGTAGATAAGTTCATTTGTACCTTTTTTTTTTTTAGATTCCACTTTTATAAGTGATATCATATGATATTTGTCTTTCTCTGTCTGACTTTACTCAGTATAACAATCTCTAGGTCTGTCCGTGTTGCTGCAGATGGCATTATTTTGTTCTTTTTCATGGTTAATATTCCATTGTATACATGTACCACATCTTCTTTATCCATTCCTCTGTTGTTGGATATTTAGGTTGCTTCCATGTCCTGGCTATTGTAAATAGTGCTGCAATGAACATTGAGGTGCGTGTATCTCTTGTTGGTGGGCATGTAAACTGGTACAACCACTATGGAGAACAGTATAGAGTTTCCTTAAAAAAACTAAAAATAGAGCTACCATATATATGATCCAGCAATCCCACTCCTGGGCTTATATCCAGAGAAAGCATAACGTTTTTTGATTTTTGTTTGCTTTGGGGAATTTCATTAGCCAGGAAGAAGTTCATAGATATTTAAAAAGACCTACCTAGTAAACACTTAGATTTGGGGGACATCTAAATAAAAATTAAATAACTTCATCCAAAAGTCACTTCTCAGTGTTTCACTTTCTTGATAAGAACTAATCCTGTAAGAATGCTATGAGGTAAAGAAATACAGTGTATTATTGCATGTCAGGGTGTACATTTCAAACAAGGCATTTTTCAGTTTTGCATTAAGAGCTTCTTGCTGCTTCTAATATTCTACTTTCCAGATTGGGAAACGGGAGCTACACTTTCTTGAACCCAGTCCACTTACTTGTAACTTTTCAGAGTTTTACAGGAACCAAGGCTGAGTCCTTTCTGCAGTTTGCCATTTCTTTTATTCATTTCTCGTTGATTCAGTTTCATGTTACCCTCTCCAACTGGACCAAACACTTTCTACTCTCTGTTGGTCCTTGATTTCTTCCTGTCCTGTCTCTTTTAGCAAGTGCCCTCATCTTTCCTGAGATGGTCAGTCATGTCCTTTGTGTAGCTATCATTTATTGAGCATTTACTATGTGTTAAGCACTCTGTTAGGCCCTGGATTACCAAAGATAGATAAAACTCTCTTACTTTCAACAAGTGAAAAGCTTAGTGGGGGAGATGGATAGTAAATTGGCTTTCTACATGAGCACTTCTGAGATATATATATATTAACCACAGAATTTTTTTCTCTTCTTACCCTGGTTTCTGAGAAAAAAATTTTTCTTCTCCCTTCAAGAGTACCCTTTTCATTTGTTTTCCTGATCGCATTCTCTCCTAGAACCCTTTTTTTTTTTTTTTTTTTTTAATCATTTTCCCTCTGGCTTAGGTCTTCAGTATCCTTTTCTCCCCTGGCTTTGTCCCCTTTGCCTGCGATCCTTTTTCTTCACTGTTGTGAGAAACAAGCAGTCAACACACTAAGACTTCTCCCAGGCCCTGCAAACTCTCAGACCACCTTTCTCTTACTTTACTTGCTTTCTTTGCAGAATTTCTCCATAGAATGTTTGCCCTTTTCTGCCTCCTTTGTCTTTGTACTTTGCTTACTTCTTCACTTCTTTCCAGTCTAGATCCTCTAACTTCTATACCTATCTGCCCACTAAGACATTTCTCTTAGGACACAAAATATAATTATAAAATATCGCAACCACAAACATATATGAGGAATGGGATAATGAACAGCCATTTATTGAAGCTTAAGAACTAATAATGTACAAATACATCTGAAGCCCTGGGTTAACATCCCAATTACATTGTAGCCACTGCCATTTCCTCTATCCAATACCTGCCCTCCCATCCTCAAGCAGGATTCTGATTTTGGTATTTATCGTTCCCATGCATTTTGTTTTGCTCTTATTATATTTATTACTGTACTTGGTTTTACTGCACTCTAAATGTAGCATTGTTTCTTAGAGCATTTAAAACTCTCTAAACTCTGACTTCTCCTGCCATTGAGAACACTGGACAATCACAGTGCCCCTGTTCATGCTGCTCCTGTCTTCTCCCACAGTAACTGTGTGTATCCCCCAAGACGCTAACTTTGGCCGCTTTCTTTTACCTGTTGTGTCCCTTCTCTATTGATGATTCTCAGATCCAATAACTACAGCGTCAACCTATTTTCTGAATGTTTCTAGTTGCCTAGTCACCAGTGTGACCTACTGTTTTCTCAAACTGAGCTTACCGTATATGCCCACCAACTCGTTTGTTCCCATGTCTGTTGAGAGTGCGACCAGTTTCCTGTGCTCAGAATATCAGAGCTTTAGTGTCATCTTTGGCTCTTCTCATTTGTTACGCACATGAGTCATTCTTGTCCCCTGGATTTCATCTCCATGCTGTATCTTGCTCTTTTTTCCCCAGCCCTATTGCCTGTAGTCTTTTTACCCAGATTGTTGTAATAGCTATCCTAATTGGTATCTTTGCTTCTGTCTTTCCACACTTCAGTCCGTCCGTCATGCTGTTGCCAGATAAATCCTCTTCAAGTACAGTAATGTTCATACTGTGCTGCTGTTGAGAAGCTTTCAGCGGTCTTGACTGTTGATGGATAACAGGATAAATAGCAACTCTTCCTAGTGACATACAGGACCCCTCCCATTATAATAGTTCCCACTGACCAGTCTACCCCTTTCATTCATCATCGCTCTACACTGATTCCACCGTAACGTTCTAGTCCACCAACTGGACCACTTCTTTTGGGTGTCTCCTTTCCATTGGCCTCGGTACTCTGATTCAATTTTTGACAGCTCTCACTTCTCTACTTTTTTTTTTTTTTAAATTTTTTGGCTGTGGCATGTGGGATCTTAGTTCCCCGACCAGGGATCAAAGCCACATCCCCTGCGTTGCAAGTGCAGAATCGCAACCACTGGACCACCAGGGAAGTCCAGTGGACCACTTCTTTAGGAAAATTATCAGTTCTTAAGTTCCAGTGCAAATGCTGCTTCTGCTTAGAAACTTTCTCTTCCCATATCAGCTGGAAGGAATCTCCTTTTCTTAAGTCCTATACAGTTTGGCCGCTACCTCTACTTATCACGTTGTTTTATTAAGGTTGTTTTTGTACATGGCTTATCTGTACTAGATTGTACCTGGCTTATCTGTACTAGATTGTAAACTTCTCACGAGCAGGGACTATGTTTTAACTTTCGTGTTCCCCACACCTTCTTGTAGTTGGCAAGTAGGGCTTTGATCAGCATTCCCTAACAGTGGCTAAAAGTGCTTAGTTTAAAATATGTCTTTATAACACATGGAAGAAAAGGGAGCTAGAAACTGAGCTAGTCAGGGCAAAAGTGTATACATTATCAATCAGCAAATTATTCACTTCTTCCCACTTTGTTACTTCCATTCTCTCCAGGACTTATTTAATGGTTGGCTGCTGTCAGCCTTAGAGACTGTTAACTCTTAAAAAGTGTTTAGGTGGTCAGAGGAGTGGATTTGCAATTGTTTTTGGTTTTGATCTGTTTTAATGTACTCAGTGTCTCCAAATAATACTGTCTGCAGAGTATGTGTAATTTCCTTCCCAGTCTCTCAACAGGCATGCCTAGCGCCCACTCCAAATAGCCCTAGTCACAAGTCAGAGGATAGGCTTAATGAGCAGGGCGGGCAAGCAGCTTTCAGGATCCCCTGTTGTGGGGTTGATGCTGCTCAAGTTGAGGTATGTTTAAGCCTCTTGGATACACTCCCATTCTGGCACCGCCTAGGTAAGGTATCTCTCACCTAAGTATTTGTCTCCCTCCCTTTTACTGTCTTTCACACTCATCACCATTTTGTGAAACTCAGGTATTTGCTTGATTCCTCACGCTTATTACCTTTAAAGAAATCATTGCAGGCAGTACATTTAGTGGCAGTTACATGAATGATTTTTGACTGTGATAAAGTATCTGTCTTCTTCTGCCCCTTCTCTTTTCTCTCCCACTCCCCCCTTAGTTTTTCTTTTCCCTCCCTTTTTTCTTTCTTTCACATAGTTCTAATTTATCGTTTTCACTGTTTTTACTAGCAGTACCATTCACAGTAGCAGTAGTAAACTTTTAGAACCGAAGTGTAACATGCATACAGAAAAGTGTACAAATCATAAGGGTATATGGCTTGGTGAATATTTACAAAGTGATCATACCCAGAACCACCAGTGAGATGGAGATACAGGACACCACCTGGACCTCAGCAGCTTTCCTTGTGCCTCTTGTAGTCACTACTCCCCACAGAAGGTCATCACTATTCAGAACTAAGTTACCCATTAATTCTTCCTATTTTTAATATGCTGTTAATGAGTTTCTGGCATCTTCTGAGTTCCTTAATTTTGAAAACAATATTCAGGTTTATTCACATTTGCTTTGTTTCAACATTTTTTTCATTTAAATAAGTATATCTATCTATATGAAATAGCCTCTGTGGTTTTCCGAGGATTATGAAACTTCACATATACTAGTACTTCACTTTTTTTTTTTTTTTGCGGTACGCGGGCCTCCCACTGTTGTGGCCTCTCCCGTGGCGGAGCACAGGCTCCGGACGCGCAGGCTCAGCGGCCATGGCTCACGGGCCCAGCCGCTCCGCGGCATGTGGGATCTTCCCAGACCGGGGCACAAACCCGTGTCCCCTGCATCGGCAGGCGGACTCTCAACCACTGCGCCACCAGGGAAGCCCAGTATTTCACTTTTTAAACTTATTTTTTAAGTTTGTGAATTTCATTTAAGAGGGTACCATCAGCGGAGTTGCTTTTTTCTGTGACAGCTCTAAAAGCAGTGTTGGATTAACTGGGGGCCTACGAATCTCAATCTTCCTTCCCGACAGTAATTTGAACTATTATTGTGATAAGTTCACTGGGGCTGCAAGTTTCTTGGGTCTGCAGACTTTAGAAGGAAGTAAATAGAGAAATTAGCACTGTCTTTACAGCGCTTGTAGCTCTTCATGGTTATAAAAACTAATTGCCCACTATATGCTCCCCAGCCTGTTTTTTGATGCTCATTTAAGGAAACACGTTACTGGTTGTTTTCCTCTAGACTTTCTCATAAAACATGAACTTTACATTATGGTAGGAAGAAGCCACTGTCACTGTTCATAGCTGAGAAAAGATAAATAAAGTCACTTTTCTGTCTTTAAGCCAAAACAGGGTAGGTAAAAGATTTCATTTTTTTTTTTGATGGCTCGAGATTCATGCCAACCTCAGATGCTTTTGCATCTGCAAATGTCCTGATTCTAAGGATTCATCATTTCCCTAACATTTTATAAACTACCTCATCTACCACACCCTACCCAAGTTCTCTTTATTTAAAATTTTTTTAGAGCATATCAAGGGATTATGGCATTTGGATATATCCCTGAAAACACATCCTTGATGTGTTTCTCTGAAATTGAGGCCCTGATTAGGCTGTCAGCAGATGCTGTATCACATCGATTGTGCCAGTTGGTACAGAGACAAGTGTCAACCAGAGCGGTTTCTCCCTTTTGCCATAGAAGGATGAAGTGTTTAGGTAGTATTTGCTTATGGGGGATGTTCCTGCCACTGCTGAAAGTGATTTAAATCTCTGTCCTATTCAAGCTTAATTTTAGGAGGCCTGTTTTCCCCCTAGTCTGAGATCACATTATGATGTTTTCAGTGCACAAGCTTCTCCCTCAGTGTAGCTGATCAATTTTTTTGGTATAGCAGTTATTATTGTTGTTATTTTTTGGTCATGTGCTCTCCTATGGTATTCCTGTGAGTAAACACTAGAGCATTTAGTACCCAGGATGCTTTGGCAAAAAACAAACTAACCAAAAATCAAAGGTATGCCTGCGTTTCTTGTCCCCTGAAATCCTCAAGCTATTCTGGCCGAGGTTTCTATATACTGAAATGCCCAGTGCAGGCTGCCAGGGCTGTCTGGAGAAGGTGTAGCTGTAAACAGTTTTAAATTGTAACATGTACAATTTTAACACAGAATCTCGTAGAGGAGAGAGGGGCCAGTGATTGAGACTGGCAATCCAAGGGGACAACACCATTTTTTTCCTCCTTCATTTGAATCTATAAAGATCCTTAACTGCATTTTGAATTGGTTAATCCATGAGCTGTCAGCCCAAATTTATGTCCCAGAATTTCAGAGAATAAGCCATAGGATTGATGTCTCCAAAGAGGAAGATTTATAGAAGACCACAGGTGCATAGTTCAGTCCATTCATACACAAGCGGGCACAGGGTTAGATGCAGTAGTTGGCAGCATGCGTCATCTTTTTAATCTGGATTAAAGGTGGCTGCATTCAGGTGTGCCTAGATCATCTGGTAAATTGAGACACGAATGAGAGTTGTTAACTAAGAAAAGTTTTCGGGTTTCCTTAAAATTTAAATGCAGGGATCCAACTACTAGAATCCAAAAATTTTCTTCAAGATCAGACTTTGCTTCTGTAGAATAATTGGCGGTTGAAAGAGGGGTGCTTCAACTCTTACAAGGCTGGTAATGGAAGGAAATTAGGAGCCAGTGGAGAGCGGGAGATGTAGGTGTGATAGGTGAATCCCCTTCAAGGGTAGAGATGTGTTCATATCTGAACTCTATCTTAAAAGCTGCTTTTTAATCTCCTTTCCTTCCTTTCCCCCAAAACATGCAGGCAGAGTAATAGTTCATCTTTTTGTATGATTTTTTTGGGGGGAGGGGTGAATTTTCACTGTCTTGGCATCAAATGACCTATATGACTCAAGGGAAAACAGGCAGCTTAGATTATGATATAATTATTCACAAAGGGGAAACCTCAGTGGAAATTGTTTTACGTTTTCTCTATTCTTTATAGTGAGTCAAAGAATTTTTCCCCTTAGCGTCACGTAGAAAATGAAACTTTACACAATAAAAAGTAGGGATGGCAGGTCTCAAAGGGGGAAAAGGTTGCTGTCAACTTTTTTTCTCTGGAATATGGAAATTTGGGTGGATTATCTGCTCAGAGGAGGTTTCCTTTATTAATTCTTTTTCCTTTTTACACTTAAGACATCTGTTAACATTTCACACAGCCCAACAGATGTTGCAAAGCAAGTCCCATACTTTGTTCTCAAGAAAAATGACTTTTCCTCAATTGGTTCCCCGCACCTCTGTGACTGGGCCCAGCCTGCTGCTTCTGCATAATTTGCATATATTAAGTTATATACCTTAATGCCATATGAATTTGTAGCCTCAGCATTCTTTTTATACCGTAAAGTGTGATTTGATTAGAAACTAGTTTACATGTTGAGAGGTCATAACATTTAAAAAATCTCTGTTGAGAAGGGCAGCCTAATTCCACAGATAGGATTGGATAGCCAATTATTGAATATTTTTCTCTATAAAATATGTGAAGTACAAAAGCTTGAGTTGTTTTGCCACAAGGAAGTGCTGATTGTCATGCGATGTGGAGCGTCATTTTTATTATTTTGGCAAGAACAGGGACAGTTTTGTCTTGACAAGCCATTAGATGAATACCAGCTTGTGTCACATGAAAAACCACTGATCTTTAACCCAGCTCTGTACTTAACCAAGCCTTGAAAATGAATAGTGAATAAAAGAAGAGCAAAGGCCAGTTTACTGTCATTACAGATTACAGAATCTGTTAACAGCTGCTGAACTGAACCCAGGGAATTACAGGTATTGTTCCGTGAACCAGCAGAAGTCCTACAGATGCTTGTTAAACTGTGTATATAAATTGTACATTTATTTGATATTTGCTTAGGATTTACATTGTTGGAAACATAGCTAGAAAAGAGGAAAATTCTTGAGTAATTTCTCAGTGTACTAAATGTATGCCTTTATCACAAAGCCATATATATTTATATGAAACTATCTCAATGATGCTTCCTTACCTCCACTTATGGAACTTATTTTAAGAAAGCAATGTGCCTTTAAAAGAATTATAATAAGTATCCAAAAGAAAAGAAAAAGTATGCAGTCCCCCTCCCCAAAAAAAACCCCACATACAAACACGCAAAACAAAATCCTTCGCTCATTTGTTTCTTCAAGGTGTTCGTTGTGGCTCATATCTGCACCAACATGTGATTTTTTTTTTTTTTAATGGAGGGAAAAACCTAACCCACCTCAATACCCAAATATTGAAAAGATCAGTAACATTTACAACAGTCAGTTGTGGGAATTATTGCTTACAGAGCTAACAAAAAAGAACACACTTTCTTACCCTGCTGGTGGAATTGCATTGTGCCTCCCTGTAGTCTTGTTATCCCACACTAACTGAAATGCAAATTCTTTGCAACTAATTGGATCTCATTGAGGGTACATGCACAGTATGTAGTTATATGCAAAAAGGTTTTTAAGAATAAGATTTCTCTGTAATTACAACTTTTGATTATGATCTGAGACATTGGTATCTCTAGTATAGATACCGATCGACTATAGATACCAATAGACTATTCTTTGTAGAATATCTATATCTATATATATCTAACTTTTTTACAGATTACTCAAAAACATGAGCTTTGAAATGCTTAGTAGAGTACCAGCTCAAAAGTTAGGGGAAAAATGTTTATTTACAGCAGTCTATAAATTGGATTTTATTATAGTCCTATGAAAATAAAGATTTGTGTTTTTTTTTGAAATTTAAGATTTAGTATCTTAGAGCCAGTACACTGAAGTCATGTTAATAGTGTAATCCTTTTCTTGGAACATTTTAAATGTGAAAACATCATAAACATCAGAAATCACTTCCAAAAGCTATTGTCTTTTTGTTTTTTCCTTCCGTTCTCCAATCTATTTTAACACTGTAAACTTCATTTGAGTTTCTTACTTTTGTGTAAGTGTATTTCTGCTACATGTTGTGGTGAGGTGGAGGTATTCACATTTCCATAATATCTTTAATAACTTGGGTGCCATTTAGACCTAGTTGGTGTACTTCTTCTTCCCATGGTCCATCTCTCACTATCAGTAAGGGTAGGAACGCCAACACATAGCCTTTAGGATTCGTGATTCTTTAAGTGGAAATACATGGAATCAGGAGAGCAGAAAAACAATTACTGTGTAAGTGATGCCTGCTTCTACTCCCCTAGTTTTAAGTAATTTTAATACAAATGATTCCAGACAGTTATTCTACAATCTTCAGACTATACAGCCAGTGGACAAACTCAAAAGTCATCTTTGTACCTAGTGGGTATATAGTTTTTGTACCTGTGTCCTTAAAATGATACAGGTGTCCTGCTTGCTAGACAGAAGATTACCCTAAGACAGAGGACTCTGCATGCTGTGTTTATATGTGGAAGTGAGTGGAAAGTTCTAGAGGAGTCAAATTTGTATTTTGAAAACTGGATTTTAAAATGAATGTTTGAAACTTAAAATCTGTAAAGCACAGCATGTGTATATGCTTGAGGTTTTTGTTTTAGTTGACTCGTTCACTCATTTCTTGCTAGGTCTGGGTTAATTGTTGTCTCATTGTAATAAAGCTTGTCTTCTTTGTAGACTATTCTTACAAACAAGTTAAAATTTTGTTGGATCAAATCCATTTAGCAGGTGCAGAATTGCATGGTAGAGTTGTAGGTAAAAAAAAAACAACAACTTTTTTTAAACCGTAGAAAGATAACTTGGTGCTTTTGAGGCTTGTGCCTTGGCAGTAATGTGCCAGATACATGTTACACTGTAGACCTGTTTCATCTAGAGCAACTCAAGCTTTGCTCTCTGAAAGAGTTCCGTTTGCCTACTCTGGGTAGCATTTTGTCAGACGACTGCTGGCCAGGAGACTAGATTTGGATGTATTAGCTAGTCAGCCTAATAACCCTGTACAGACTGTATTGATTTTCTAGGAGGGAGTTTATGAACTAAATAAACTTGGGGTTGGTGTCTTAATAAACTGCTTCTCTCAGTCTGTCACATTTAGTTACTGAGCTGTGCAGTTTAGGGGGAAAAAAGGCTAATTCTGTTACAGATTGTTCACAGCAGGGTCTCCAAATTAGCCCTTTGTTTTGTAATGCCACCTTGCTTGGGCTGCTTTGAGCACATTTCTCAGTTTTGCCCTAATGAGTTGCAACACTGATAATGTGGCTGATGATCTTTCATTGATTTCACTATCACTTGCTTGTCTGGTAATTGATCCATTGCTGAGCCTCTAGTTAATTATATCGGCTTTGACATGGCCCAGTCCACGGGGAATTTCAAGTCTTGCAGAATAACAGTTTTAATAAAAGAGTCTATTACTGCAGGTGCTTGCTGCTGCATGCCAGTTGATTTTTGTGGGGGGGGTGTGTGTGTGTGTGTGTGGTTGGTGAGGAGGGGATACCTGGGAAAGGAGAGGACCACAGGACTGAGAGAAAGGAGGGGTGGGGGCTGGAAGAAGAGGAAGAGGGAGTGAAGGAGAGAAGAAGGAAGGAGGGGGAGCCGAGAGGGTGAAAGCAGGAGAGCCAGAGGCACGCTAGAGAGAACACGCAGGCAAAGCGATACAACAGAGCCTGCAAGGAGCGAGGAGGAAGCTTGCTATTGACAGTGTCCTTAAGCCTCCCACAAATAACAGCCATTAGTGGGAAGGTCAGGAGCTGAGCATGCAGCTTGACTGAGGCACTGAGTGCCACTTCAGAAATCAAGAGGCTAGCAGATTTTAGAGGGAGTTTAAATGGGTAATAGCTAGCTGTAAAGGTACAGTCACTGTTGACAATTGACTCACAGGGTCTTTTTCCTGCCCCCCCCCCCCGCCAAGAATATTTTTATTGACCACAGGTGGACTTAATATATTTTAAGGCAACAATTCTTCGGGTTCTTGTTTGTTTCTCTTCAGATATTGAATTTGCTGCTTTTGAGACTTGTTTTGTGCTTAATGGTGGTGAACCGGAGGGAAGTTTAACAGAAAAGCTTTCAGGAGATGTCGGTTCTAGAGGGGAAGGCACATTTGTGTCAACACAGTGCACGTTTTCTCATCTTTTCTCATTGTCCACTAATGACACCGAGCTGCCACGGAAGCTCTTTTCTGTTTCTTTTGTTGTTTCAGAGAGTAAGGTTTATTGTTATTCTTGAGTTAAGAAAGAGCAAGGAGAGTGGTACATTTGTCCTCGGTATTTGTAGGTGGTCGAAGATTAATGTGCCTTACAGTTTAAGTTTAGGAAGGATGGCTTTTTGCTGCTGACTACTTTTATGAGATGACATGAGTTTAGCTTTCCATTTTGGAGTTACTGCGTATGTACAGTGTGTTTTGTTCAGTTCTGCTTTTCCATGAAGAAGGTAGATAAATATGATCTAATAAATAGATGTTTTGTCTTAAACCTGGTTTAATTAAAAATATGACACGCTATCGAGGTTATATTTCATCAGGCCGGAAAACGTTATAGAATTTTCCATGGAGATCTTGAATGAAAAATGGAGTTTTTATATTCATTACTTTTTACCTGAAATGGGACAGGCTTTTTTTCTTCATCTTTTTCTTTTTTATAATTTGAAAGGATATTGTAGAGGCTTCATCCAGGAACTTTAACAAAGGATTTTTGTTTCTACTTTTGAGCTTTAAGGAAAGGTACACTTTTTTCCTTTCCCATTCAGTTTCTTATTGTTCAACATCCAATTGAGTAATTAATGCCCTGAGGGAACTGGGTAGTACATAGTGTGTATTTATTTTGCAGATGTTTATTGTGCATCTTCTATGTTCAAAAAACTGCTAGGTTTATTTATTTACCTTTTAGAGTGTAAGGTCATGTCTCTATGTATATTATTTTCTCTAGAAGTTTATATGTGGTTATAAATAGTCCAGTACATACTATATGACTTTTAGGAGCTAACATTTTAGATAACACCTAAGCCAACTTCACATTCTCTCATAGCTGAGTATTTTTCTTTCTTCCAGTGTAATTAGGGGAAAAAAATGTTTTTAAGCCTAGCGGTTTACAAATGTTAAAGCAAAGACTGATGTCAGATATTGCATGCTATACCCAAAAGCATTGTTGGGAAAAATTCCCTGGGAACGGCCCCAGTCTCTGCTTGCCCCGTGGACCATCCCTGATCATGGTGCTGCTTGGAGTGTACATAAGTGCGTATCTCTCTATCCGTGTGTCTGGAGAGGGGTTAGTGCAGGGTGTCATTTAGTGCCTGACAGTGGAACAGTGCAGTTGACTCTTAGCTCTGCTATCCAATGACATGCAGTAGCTGAGAGTTTGAAGCTGATGGTTGGGTCTCCAGTGCTGCCGGCACACCTGACAGGCAGCTGTTAAACCGAGCAAAGGCAAGCTCGGGGAGTCACAATCTATGCATAAATGATAGGGGTATCTGTGCAGAAGGTGCGAAAGAAGCTCTGACCCCCTCCTTCCCCCCAATCTCCCCCTTCCCCAGTGAAATGCACCGTTCAGCCAGCTTCTTAACTACACTACACTCCTGCTACTGGCTGCCAAGAGGCTCAAAAAATCCACCTTCACTTTTCAGTCAGAAGAGGCAGAAGTGGATGTGAGAGAAAGAGAGACACAGAGAGACAGAGAGCCAAAGAGGGCAAGAGACTTGACTTTAAGAGACTGCTGTACTGACAACTCCATGCAGTTCGGAACCAGAACGACTCCGGCTGAACCAGGGTTCATGGGGACATGGCAAAACGCTGATACTAACCTCTTATTCAGAATGTCCCAACAGGTAAGTTACTTTCATTTTTTTTTTTAAAGGAAACCTTGAATTGTTATGTGCACTTTTGTTTCTGGTATTTTCCTTACTAAACATTTTTGAATTGTGATCACTTCGTAGTTGGGTTCTGTTATGTCATAACTGTTATTGGAACGTGCAGGGTTACTTCACGGCTTCCCTAAGGGCTACTTACAAGAAAAGGGGGGAAAGGATACCGAAGTAGAAGAAAGCAAAGGCATCTGTGGCGAAGTTTCACAGTCCAGCCTGGGTCCTGGGTCAGGGGAAGACTTCATTTATTTCTTTGTTTTCTGTTAAAAATTAAAAACAACCACAACACCACCACCACCACCACCACCCCCCCCCGCCCCATGTTATCTTTCTATCTGCATTGATCACTTCATCCAAGTGGCTGCTGTCTCGGAGTAGGTTTACCAACCTCACAGCCATGAAATGCAGGGGCCCCTCGGCCCTGCCCGACGGACTTCCCGGGGCTGGAAGCGGCTCGACTCCGACCCGGCCCGGGAGAGGATACTGCGCAAGAGCCGCTGGCAGCGCCGAGGGGCGCGGGTGGAGGCGGCGTGTGTGGCGGGCTGAGCCACCGGCGGTCCCACTTCCTCCGTGCCGCCGCTGCCGCCTCCTCCGCGCTCGCCCTTCGCTCCCGCAGCGCCCGCTCGGCTCCCGCCCGCCCGCCCGCCCACCGGCCGACGCACTCACACTCGGGCAGCCTCGGCGTCCTCCACAGAGCCGTCCTCGGGCTGGCCGGCTGCGCCGCCGCTGGCTCTGCGGGGAGAGCCGACGTGTCCGCGCGAGGCCGCCGGCGACTGCTCATTAATCAGCGGAGTCCGCGGCTCGTACTACGTACCGTGCGCTCGGTGGTACCTACGCACCCCGCGCGCCCGGCTCCTCTTGCACAATCACTGGCTCTGCGGCTCCGAGGGGGAGCGAGGGGGAGAGGAAGCGAAGGGAAACAACCCAGAAACTTTCATCTTGGACTGTGCTCAAGCGAGGGAGGGAAGTTCCCTGGTGCCTCCCTCCCAGACACGTCTTTTCAAAAGCCTCCACCAGCAAGAGTTAGTATGATACTACCCTCCGCACAGCACGAAAGTATTACTGACGAGTTCACTGGGATTTTAAGTAGCTGGAGGTCGTTAGAAAATGGATAGTGCTCCACTCATTTAAAAAAAATACTGCAGCTGCGTTCTTTTTTAAAAAACCTGTTTTTTTTGTAGGAGTTCATGAGAACTAAATACTTTATTCAGTTAATTCGATTTTTAAAGTATTGGTAAAGAAGGAAAGAAAGCAGTTTGCCAGGCTGGAGACTACCGCAAGTTTAGAAATCGATCTGCGAAAGATAGTGCAGAGAGCCAGCGCTTTGCAGCATTTAGCTAGCGAACAGCTGTATCACACAGTTCTAGATAGGATAAATACATTTGAATAAGGTGTATTTTGACATATCCTGTAGAGGGACCCTGATTACTGCTGATACCGTAAGCTGGGATTTAAATGCAATCAACACAAACCCAATATGCAACTCTTTATGTGCAGTTTCCCATTCTTGCAAGTTAAAAAGTTCATTTCCTCCCAGAGATACTCCTTGGAGTTGCCGAGTGCTTTGAGAGGTGTATTTCTGAGGCACGTCCCTGCCTGGGTGGCTGTTTTTGTGGTTGGAACACAGAGTGTGTTTTCACTGACCTTAGGACCAAATAACTTGTCCTGGCACTTTAAAAATTAGGTGTCATATTCAGGGTTTTCTTGAGTTAGTGGAGGTCGTGTGTGTGTGTGTGTGTGTGTGTGTGTGTGTGTGTGTGTGTGTGTGTTTTGAAAGGGAAGATTGGTTTAGGTCTCCCTCTAGCTAGAAAAGAGTTAATAAAACCAGATAGAGATAATGATCAATTGATAAATGGCTATTGAACCACATAGATGGTGTTAGATTGCTTCTTTGGCACTAGCCCATTTCCAAGTAGATTTGAATCTAAGGAGACTTTAAGTCGTGGAAAACATTTTAGCTAAAAAACAAATAAAAGTAAATTATATAAATGATGGATCAAAGTTAGGAAAATAAATTGAAATCGCTCAGAGACAGAAACTTGTACAGCTGAGCCATTATGATGTCTTTGATCCAGCTGTTTCACTCTGTGGGTGTATAAAAGTCTCTTTTGTGTGTACCTATGTGCATGTATGTGTGAAAGTGAGCATCAGTGATAATATGAAAAGAGTAGAAATATAGGGAAGTAATTTATGCATCATGGGTGCTGTATGAAACTATATAATATTAATTATACTATTTACTAAACAGAGTAGTACAATCAAGGGAGAAAATCACAATTTAAAAAAGTGTAGTGATTTCACTATATTTTATATATTTTCTTTATTTTTTGGTTTTGAAGTAATTGGAGACTCCCCTCCCCCTCTTTTTTCTCCTGTCGTGGTTATTAAATGCTTAACCTCCTCTGCATTTTTGGAAAGCATGTGAAAGAGGGTATGAGTTTACATGGTTTTTTTTTCTCCTTTAGGATGACATTTTAGTTTGTATAAATATTGTGTAAACTTAAATTGAAACTGTGTAAATCTGAAAATATATGTGCTGTACATGTTTAATATGTTTATTTTCCTGACCTATAGTTCATCGGCAATGCTGATTCAGAGTGTGTGTGTGTGTGTGTGTGTGTGTGTGTGTGTGTGTGTGTGTGTGTATGTGTGTATGTGCCAGAGCAAGGAAGATATCTCGCAAAGCCAACAGTTTCAAGGAATACTAGTCTCAGTATACACCTTAAGCCAGCTTTTGTCTTACTACAGGTAAAAGTTTGTCCAGTTTAATCAAGTCTGCAGAATTTTGTATTTCTAAGGCATAGAGATGTTTTTTCTATATTATGATTATTTTAATTTCTAAGAAAAAATTGACTTAGCTCATGAAATGAATACAATTTATTGGGTATATTTTTTATTTCAAAGTTTTCTGTAATAAGAAAAACTAGGATTCACCTGACCGTTTCTTTAAATATTAGAAAAGACTGACTAGCAGGTTTTAAAACTGAGTTATAGAAAATTCACCATCTGTAGTATTTAACTACAGCAAAACTTAAGAGTGTGAAATAGCTCATGAATACTGAAATTTAGTATTCTAGGGTTGTATCTTCTATGAGTAATTTAGGAAGTAGGGTTATGAAAATCTTTGTCTTTTGTTTTGTATGAGCAAAGTTAGATCTGCTAATATGTAAATCTTCAGTCTGTGTAATTCTAACAAAAAAGATACCACAATCTGAAGCCAATTTAGATTTGGTGGAACTAAGTCTGTTCCCCTAAAGTTTGAGATATGACAATTTGACTGCATTTTCCTGCCTCTCTACATTTTTCTCCTGTATTTGAGTATGATGTTTTCAAAAAGGATAATATTTTTCCATACAGACAGATATTTGGTAACCTTAAAGGGCATGACTCTTGACTTTTGTAAAGGGAGTTCTTCTTTGGGTCACTTTGATCAGTGACAGGTCGAGAATAACCAGAAACCCTTTGCTCATCTTCTAGAGTCCAGAATGTTATTTTACCCGTTTTAACCTCACAAAGTACTGTTAAAAGCACAAAATCAGGACTGCTTTTGGAAGTTGTTGTTGTTGTTTTTAATCAGGCTTTAAATGGTGATTTTTCGATTTCTGTAAATCTTTTGTGCATGTGAGAGAAGAGCAAATAAAATTTTTGTAGCTACCTCAAGGGATGCAGTAGTCTAATATATTTTGAAATCTTTTCAGAAATGAAACCATAGCAGGTAAAGGGCTAGAGCCCACACTTTTACACATTACTAGAGGCATGTACCTTTTATTATTAGTGAGGTATATTTAACCTGTTTCAAATAAGATGTGGATCCCTTAATAAGGTCTCTTTTCAGACACGAGTGAAATACTAAGTTAGAATTATAAATGACTCTGTGCATCATTATGTAGTAATTTAGGATTCACCCAATGATGTAACAAAATTAACAACATAATTTCATTGTGAAACTGTGTCTTGTTAAAGAACAACTGTCTGACATTATCCTACAGTTGCTTTATTTAACTTCATGCAAATATTATTAGTAGTGACATTTTTCTATTGTGCATTAGATTGTCTCATTAGCATGATGTGTTAGTTATCACCAGAGAAATCATTTCCTAGATAGGTGAGGGGCAAACCAAGAAAGCTAAAAATTAAATCAGTGATTTACATTAATACCAGAGCGTCTGCTCACCAGAGATAGGACAGAGTCAAGCAAACTTTCTCACTAATATAAAATCTAGCCCATTTCAGAGAAATGATAAATAAAATATATTGTCAGAAACATATAATAACATTGCTGGAATCCATTTAAAAGCAGGTTTGAAATGAATTTTTCTCCCAGTAGTCTTTTAGTTCTTTCTATTCATATAGGCAAACACAGTTTCCGTTGGTTGAATCTATATTTTCAAGTGGAAATGGTGGTTTTGTCTGACTTCCTACCTGCCCCTGCCCCCCGCCAAATAATTTGAATGTTTATTCATTAACAGTTTAAAAGGCACATAGACAGTGTTTCTTACAAGTCAGATGCCTAATTGTATATCGCGGTTTGCTGCTTCTTTCTAGTTTGTACAATACATTTTTATTCTAAACTCTGTCCCAGTCATGCAGCCCTCCTGTCCCTTTTAACAGAGGATGTATATTCTTATTTAACCAGAGACCTGAGTAAAGCAGTTGATAGTTAATGGTCTTTGAAAATGACTTTCACTGCCAGGCATCATGCATCCCTAGGTTTCTGCACTTTTCCTCCTCCCTTTTTACTCCCCTTCTTACAGTCGGTGTGTTTTAGTAATCATGTCTTAGTAAAAAAGGATTAAATTGACCAAACTTACGGTCATGATGCTAAAATAAATATTTATATTATACTAGGAGGCATGTAATTTCAGCTTGTTGAATCGGTAGGCTGCTACCTCCAATTTAGTTCCCCTCTCTAATTTGAGTGATAATGTGTTTTATTTTGAAGTCTTAACTGTAGACATATGTTC